TTTTTTTTTTTTTTTTTTTTAAGGAAAGGGGAAGATGGAGAGATGTTTGTTTATTTTGATTGTTAAAAAGTGTCCGGGAAATCGACCCTTCCTGGAAAGGGACGTCCGGATATGGGACGTTACACTGTATTACAATATTTCTATATGAATGTATATCCTTCTATAAGAATACATGTATATAGTTGCAAAATCAATAGCAATCATTTACAATATAAAGGCAATTATGTGAAAATAAAATATTGTCCGCTATATGCCATAAATTAAAGAAAACGGTAGGTTTTTGACGGTTTTTACCATTGTCATGTCAAAAACCAGTTTTTGACTGCAAAAAACCAACCCTGTTATGAGGACCACTCATTACTTTATAGCAGTCTAAATGAAATTTTAGTGGCCTCAGACAACAATTAATTTTGAGTCTCGTTAGTAAAAATTCTGAAATGCTATTTTGGTTTAAAAACTCTAATGACATAAATTAACTTACTACTTGGCTTATTGTTGGTTAATACATTTGTACTTTTGATGTCTTTCTCCAGTTTTGACTTGGCCAATGGCAGCTAAAAACAAAATCAGTTACTTTGTATTACATTTGAATTTCAAATATAAATAGTTATTTAAAGATATTTTTGTGATACTATTACATTACCTTCTGAGATACTTTTGGAAGTGAGGAAGCATTTTTTGAAGCGCTTCTAAGATTTGTCGGAGGAGGTACGCCCTTTGAAGGCTGGGAGTAGATTCTCGTAGGATTAGGAACCTTTTGAACATTTGGCTTGGTTTCCTTGAGTATTGTTTTCCCTTGTAGAGCACTTGTCGTTGAAGACAAAGCAGTAAGTCTTGATTTTTGAGTAGATGGCTTTGAAGTCAAAACAGATTTGGATGCAACAGATCTTTGGGTTATTTGAGGTTTTATATTTGTTGAAACAGATTTAGTAACAGGCACACTCAATTTAGTAACAGGCACAGTTGATTTAGTAACAGGCACAGTCGATTTTTGTGGCATGAATGTAGGCTGGGAAGACGATTTTGAAATCAGCTTAGTGTTTTGGGTGCCAGTTTTAAGAGTAATATTTGATACGTTTTGTGCCTAATAACAGAAATATAAATACATAATGAAGTATAGTAATAACTCAGCTATTGGAAAACAAATTAAGTTAAGGTTATGTAAATAAGCAAAGTGAATAAACAAACAGTTATATTGATAAAAAAAATTTTGAAATATTTTTGCAGTAATATTTATATTTAAAGTTATTAAAATATTTAAAGTTACTGATAGTAAATCAGATATGAATACAATGAAGCCACTCGAGAGTGACCACTCTCCGTTCGATAATAAAATAGTCGTAAATAGAGGTTGGTCGTTCTTAGAGATTAGCTCCATTGATCTCAAAATTGTTATCGAAGATACATGATTTTTTGCAAACAATTTTATTTTTAATCAGTGTAATTTTCCTGGTGCGGAATTATCACTTCTGCTGGCGTTATAAAAAAAACCCGAATCTATGGATAAAATTCAGCATCAATAAAAATGATCCCAACTGATATAATTATGCATAAAATCAAATTGTCCAACTATGAATGATAAAGCTATTTTAAATAAATAAAGAATAATGTTTTTCATTTAAGTTTGAATTCAATTTTATATTATAAAAATTAGTTAGCTTTTAAAGATGAGAAGAGGTTTTTTGAGAAGCTTGTTTATTCTAAAATAACTTTCTTTCCAATTCCAAAAGTAAATCATTGATAGCATCATGTTTAGTGCACTCTGACTACAACCTGAGGTTGTATCATCAAAAAAAAGCTCTCTATATAAGAGCCTCACACTCAAGAGCTATTTTAATCTACTTATTTATTTTGTTAAATTCTTTGTTTTGGTATTTTTTCCTGTTTTCTTACTTCAGTTTTGACCCTCTTTATTTGTGATATTCACCTGAATAAGTATTGAAAACGTTCCAGTTTGAACTGCAGGTTAGAATTTCGAATTCTTAATTAAAACAAGAAAAACAAAAATATTGTTCAAATGATGAAATTCTCTTTTACTCACTACTCAAGAAGTAGGGATCTCTCTGGTCCCATACCTCAAAAATAAACTCACCAACTTAATGCATAACGGAATTAAAAGTGAAAAAAAAGAATTCTAAAAAAATTATCAAACAGCAGTGGTCGCCATAGCAACGCATGCACCCTGTTGGCTATTACTCTTGATTATTGTAGTTTACTCTTGATTATTGCAGTTTATTCTTGATTATTGTAGTTTATTCTTGATTATTGTAGTTGAAAAGTGCAGACATGTCATGAAATCCAAACCAAGACCCATTTTGCCAATGGGTAATAAAAACAGGAATATTAAGACAAAATAATAAAAATCAGGACAACTAAGAACATTTTTTAAAATCAGAAAATCAGGACAATTACGAACCCTGTAAGTACCATAACACTAAAATTTAAATTTTTTAAAGGAAAACATACAGGGTTAATATAAATATATTTTACTTTGGATTTAGAATCGTCGGTTCTATTCTGAAATGTTGCAATTTGTTTCTTGAAACCGAATCCAGTTTTCACAGCAGATTTTACAGGCTGCTTCTGCTTCATTGCTTTTTCTTCCTTCCATTTTTTTAGCATTTCATTTCTAGAAGGAATGCCCCTTTTCTTTTCCTCTGAAACATTAATTTATTTTAAAATACTTGAAAACCAAAAGAATTCGCATCATTTCCTACAGTTTATAAAAACTTAACAACACAAAATGGTAGTACATAATAGTCTAAAATAAAATGTATTAAACATCAGGGGTCTGTTTAGAAGAAATTTGGGTCCGTTAACGGACCCCTCACAAAATATCTTTTCATAAAAACGGACACTTCACAAAATAATTTATTTTCCAATCAGACCCTTCACATATTTGTTTATCTTCATTAGTGTTTTTTTAATTGAATAAACCTTCCCCTGCCGACAAATTATGTTTTTCTAAGTTTAAATTCCAAATGTAGTATTCTGAGAAAATATTTCTACTTTTACAAACATCGTATGCGTATTCTTATTAATATCAAATCATAATTTTTTTTTGTAAATAAATAATTGATCAATTTATATTTATTCATAAAATTAATTAATAGAATATTATGTAAATAAAAATTAAATCCTGGCAATATTTTAAATAAAATACTATAAATTCAAGAATTGTTTAAGTTTACTTCATGCATAACTCATTAAAAGTGACACATAACTAAGTTGTGTTATTTAAAATAGATTAATTGAAATTATTAAAAGTGTGAGTGATTTTGTTTCCATTATTCGTCTGAAATGAATATTCTATGTTGAGCAGTATAGGCTAAATACCAAACATTTGTATGTTGCATCTGTAATTTAGTAGCAGCAATTGTTGAGCAGAATCTTGTATCTAATTACAATTTAAAAACCTCTTGAAAAGGTTTTTAGCAATTTTTTCAATAGCAGGGCCCTATTTGCACAAATTCACAAAAGCAGGACCCTGGTTGAAAGAATGCGACTTAAAGCTTATTTTATATTCACAAATTATGAATAGTTTTTTCACAAAAACAGGACCTTTCAAAAAATGTCTCTGTATCTGGACAGACCCATGAACATATATTTTAGCAAGTATATGAAGGAAAATTATTTGGCATTTTACCGTTAGGCAAGCACAGGAAAATTCAATTACTTATTTTGATTAAATATCTTTTTAAAAACAAAAGGAAATGGACATTTCTGTATAAAAAAAATAGTTGCATTTGCTTGTGCTTAGCTAATGGAAAACTATAAAATATTTATTAAAAAATGGAGTTCTCTTTCATTCCAGAAAAACTACGGGAGAAGGGATTAAAAAAAAAAAATAACAGGTCACCCTGAATATCTTTTGATCTAATGATCGGATTTTCACACTCTAAGACTGTTTCGAGGGGATGACTCAAATATGCTAATTAATCAGTGCAGACCATATTTTAAGTTATAAAATCAGACACATTAAAGAAACATATCTTTCTTTTTTAACGGAATCAGATTTCTGCCCCCAATCTGGGAAATAGTCCCCATAGTTTGATCAGAAGAGCAATCCTAAGAATGAACCTCATAACGTTCATTTTATTTTTTGGGTATTTAGCCCTATCTCGAGAACTTTTTAAGTGAATGGAAATTTTTTTTTGGATAAAACTATAAAATTAATTTATCCAAATATAATTCCATGCAAAAAAAAAATTTTAGTTATTTATTAATTTATTTAATAGTAATTGAAAAAATTTTGAATTTTAAAGTTTAAAAATTTTTACATAATTTTAAGGAATGTAATTTTAAATGGCAAAATACAAAATTTTAACGAGATCAGTTCATAAGTTTCTGAGAAATCAAATTTTAAAAAAGTCTTATAAAATTCGATCAGTAAAAAAATTTTTTTTTATCGAAAGTCTATATTTTTTTAATGACAGCTATTGCTTTGATTTTTTGAATGATTTTGAAAATCCCGTTGTTCTACAATGATATTACAGTAGGGAACCGATTATCCGGAATGATCGGGACCATCGCTATTCCGGAAAACTGATTTTTCCGGTTTTCTGAATCGCTACAAAAAGCAGTTTTTTTTAATTGTTAAACCCAACTTGAAAAAAGAAAATTATTTAGAATTAATCTTAAAAAGAAGAAAAAACGATGAAGTACCTAATACAGTAATGATTATTTCTAAAATGAAGGTATGGTAAACATCTTTCAAAAAAGAAAGAAAAATCCTAAAATTTTATGAGGAAAAAAAATTTTTTTTTTAAAAATGGAGGGAGAATTTATCGAATTTTGTTCCGGTTTTTTTGGTTTTCTGATTTCCGGATAACGGGTTCTGTACTGTATTAAATCCAAGTCATTTTTCAATAACTTTTTTGGCAGTTTTTGCCATGCATTCCCAGGTGATTTTAAAAATTCAGATTTTTTTTACAATATATGAATTTTGAATCATGCATTTAAATAATTACTTATTCACTAGCATAATTTGTGATTTCACCATAAATGTAAAAAAATTTTTTAAATTATTGTGAGGCTTCTTCCCATGATTTTGCTGATTATGTTACTTTACAATGTTATTATGACACGCGAGCTTCTAATCTGCTGCATAATAATTATCAAGTCTACGAGAAGCTAAAAAGCGAACATCACAGAAAGGGACCAATTTGAAAGGTATAACTCATAGCCACCCTTGGAAAAATATTAGGTATCTACTAATTCACGACTTTTCATGATTTTCCATGACTTAACGAAGTTACTATATTCTCTGACAAAATCAAATTTAAAAAAGTATTATAATAACATTAATTGAAATAATAGGTATAACTAAAACTGATATACTATTAATTTTTATATTTATAGATTTAAATTTAAAAAACAGAGTAAAGAAAGAGTTGAAACAATAAAATAGCTGAAAAAATACAAAAGCAAATAATTTTTTTTATTTTTCCTGCAGAATTTTATTCTAAAGATACTTTTCTTGTTCAGCGGAAAGGAAAGAAATACTCCTGATTTTTCTGTTTTCATTTTGGAATAAAAAAAATTCGCCAATGACTGGTTTACTTCAGCTAGAATTTTAAATTAATAAAAATTCTTAAATCACAGAAGTTTTAAAGATATTTCAGCTAGAAATTATTTTTATTCTTTTATTTTTTGAACGATACACCATAATTTTATATTGTAATAAAATATGATTCTGAGTAATGATTTTGTTATGAATTCAGATATTCAGAACAAGCTGAAATGGGAGGGGGGATTCCATTTTAAAAATTAAATTTTCCAGCAATCTAAATCCATGATTTTTTTAAAAAAAATATTTAAAATCATGACATTTCACGACTTTCCAGGTGTGCGGATATCCTGTATTTACATTTCTTTTTTATACTTGTAAATTTAAGATCTCTTTGGCGATTGTAGTTGGTCATGTAGATCAAGATACGGTAATATCTTCCTAAAAATATCCAGAAGTTTGCCTAAAAGTGGCTATGAAATATAACCCTTTGAGTTGGTCACCTTCTGTGATTTTTTAGTAATCCATCCGGAAGTTTTCAAAGCTTGACGATTATTCTTCCACATATTTTTATACGGAAATCTTCTCAAAAGTAGATATAAATATTGGTTCGATAAGTTAAATTGTTACTTAAAAATTCTTATTGATTAAAAATTATTCATGATTTCATTAACTTAAATAATATAGAAATATATCTTAAATCAATATTTCACATATTACTAAAAGTTTGATGCATTACCCAATTTGTTTGATGCATTTAAGTTTTCTTTTGAGTCTTTGAAATTAATGTCGCGTAAACAACTCAAACGTTTTTGCCTTGAAGCTTCCCTCACTGATAAAATACTTTCTTTTTTAATTTCTTTATAATTCCCAAATTTTAAATTTTTTTTCTTATAGAGATACTCCATCTTCAAATAAATACCGCCACCAAACCGAAAAGTTTTTAAAGTTAAATGTTGCCAAATATCTAAACTAAAATAGCTCCTAAATATTTTAGACTTGCATACTCAATTTAGGCTTATAAACCTTTTCGTACAAATGCCAATCGTAGCGCTTGAATACGCCACCTGTGGGAAGGAGACCATCGTCAATAACCCAATCTGCAGCTCCGGCGAATGAAAACGTAACAGCAGAGAACATAGTTTTTTACTTGCTTGAGAATGCAAACAAGTTACTTCTAAATGATGTAATTTGCTTCATTCACCGTAGTTGGTTTTAAACTTATCTTTTTCAAATTGGCGATCGAAATGGGCTCCTGGTGGCGTAGAGCAGAACTCTCTACCTATGGCAATACTACGCATTCTTTCACTATTTGCGTGTGGAGAGTCATAAAAGAAGGAAGTACGTTCTGTCTTGATATTTAAATAGATTAAAATTTTTTAAGTTAGGAAATTATATGAAACTGAAAACTACATTAAACGTAGTTCTAAAAGGAAGCGATATGGAAATTTTAAAAAATATTTTTAATTCTTAGATACAAAAGTTATTAAGAAAAGAAAAAATATCAAGGGAAGAAAATATATAAGAGGGAAGGGAGAAGGGCCTAAGGCATTCGGTCTTCTCCCAGATGACGTATTCAAGCGTTGCGATCTCCTATATTGTATTGCTTTTTTTTCTTCAGAACTCTCTATTTTTTTTTAATTAAAAAATATCTTACAATTTAAAATTAATTTAATATCTATTGCTATAGCAAATTCTAAATTCAAGAATAAAATGGACATTACAAAAAAATTATGAACTATTTTAATTAGTACATAATGCAGTCAATTTAAATTTATAGTTTTTTTCTTATTTTATTGTCATAATAGAAATCCCTAAAATCTCATGTATCTGAAATATTTTTGAAACTATGCAATGATATAAAATTCAAATTTCGTAAAAATCTATTGGATTATTTCCTTTTTGGTTGATAGTATTCCTAGCGTTTTAATTTTAGTGAATACAATAATTAACATATCTATATGATGTATATATATTTTTTTCAAATATATATTTAACTTTACAGTAATTTGTAATTATTTTTAAAATTTAGTAACCAATGATAAAGCATTTAGAAAAAAATATTTTTTTAATTTGTTTCAAGAAATAATTTCTTTCTCTTATTGAAAAATATTTTATTGCATAATTAATTATCTGTTAAAAAGCCGCCGTGTTTTTTTTTTCAAGGTGAGATATACAGTTCAATTCATAATCTTTGAATAAAATTATTTAAAAAAAAAAAATTCGATTTTCCGAATATTTAAAAAAAATGAATTTAGTTTTTTTTTTTAAATGTAAGTTATGTTTAATTTAATATAAGTATCAGAATTATCGCTTGCGATGCTTATGTTCCCTTTACATTCCTCCTCCTCCGCTNCTACTGTACATAATAGTCTAAAATAAAATGTATTAAACATCAGGGGTCTGTTTAGAAGAAATTTGGGTCCGTTAACCGACCCTTCACAAAATATCTTTTCATAAAAACGGGACCCTTCACAAAATAATTTATTTTTAAATCGGACCCTTCACAAATTTGTTTATCTTCATTAGTGTTTTTTTAATCGAATAAACCTTCCCCTGCCGACAAACTATGTTTTTCTAAGTTTAAATTCCAAATGTAGTATTCTGAGAAAATATTTCTACTTTTACAAACATCGTATGCATGCGTATTCTTATTAATATCAAATCATAATTTTTTTTGTAAATAAATAATTGATCAATTCATATTTATTCATAAAATTAATTAATAGAATAATATGTAAATAAAAATTAATTTCTGGCAATTTTTTAAATAAAATATTATAAATTTAAGAATTGTTTAAATTTACTTGATGCGTAACACATTAAAAGTGATACATAACTAAGTTGCGTTATTTAAAATATGTCAATTGAAATTATTAAAAGTGTGAGTGAGTTTGTTTCAATTATTCTTCCAAAATGAATATTCTGTGTTGAGCAGTATAGGCTAAATACCAAATATTTGTATGTTGCATCTCTAATTTAGTAGCAGCAATTGTTGAGCAGAATCTTTTATCTATTTACAATTTAAAAATTTATTGGAAAGGTTTTTAGCAATATTTTCAATAACAGGACCCTATTTGCACAAATTCACAAAAGCAGGACCCTGGTTGAAAGAATGTGACTTAATGCTTATTTTATATTCACAAATTATGAATACCTAGTTTTTTCCCAATTTCACAAAAACAGGACCTTTCACAAAATGTCTGGTCAGACCTCTGAACATACATTTTAGCAAGCATAAGAAGGAAAATTATTTGGTATTTTATTTCACAGCGGGCCAAGCACAAGAGAATTCAATCATTTATTTTGATTAAATATCTCTTTATAAACAAAAAGAAATGGACATTTTTCTATATATAAAAAAAAGTTGCATTTGGTTGTGCTTAGCTAATGGAAAACTATAAAATATTTATTAAAAAATTGAGTTCTCTTTCATTCCAGTAAAACTATGAGGGAAGGAAGAAAAAAAAGACCACCCTGAATAACCTTTGATCTAATGATCGGATCTTCACATTCTAAGACTGTTTCGAGGGGATAATCTCAAATATGCTAATTAATCAGTGCAGACCATATTTTAAGTTACAAAATCAGACACAGAAAAAAACTTTCTTTGAAGAAACATACCTTTTTTTTATAATGGAATCAGATTTCTGCCCCCAATCTGGGAAATAGTCCCCATAGTTTGATCAGAAGAGCAATCCAAAGATTGGACCTCATAATGTTCATTTTATTTTTTTGGTATTTCGCTATATCTCGAGAATTTTTTTTTCTTGATAAAACTAAGAAATTTTTTTATCCAAATATAATTCCATGCAAAAAATAAATTTTAGTTATTTATTATTTTATTTAATAGTCATTGAAAAAATTTTGAATTGTAAGATTTAAAAATTTTTACATCATTTAAGGAATGCAATTTTAAATGGCAAAATAGAAAATTTTCACGAGTTCAGTTCAAAAGTTCCTGACTCAGGAATCCTGAGAAATAAAATTTTAAAAAAGTCGTAGATTTAAAATTCGATCAGTAAAATCCAATTTTTTTTATCGAAAGTCTATATTTTTTTAATGGCAGCTATTGTTCTACTTTTTTGAGTGATTTTAAAAATCCCGTAGTTTTTCAATGATATTAGTACAACACTTTTTGACACACTTTGTTTTAGATTCATTTTAAATCCAAGTCATTTTTCAATAACTTTTTTGGCAGTATTTGCAATGCATTCCTATGTGATTTTAAAAATTAAGATTTTTTTTTTTACAATATGTGAATTTGAATCATGCATTTAAATAATTACTTATTCACTAGCATCATTTCACGATAAATGTAAATTTTTTTTTTTTAAAATTATTGTGATGCTTCTCCCCATGATTTTGATAATTATGTTACTTCACAATGTTATTATATGACACGCCAGCTTCTAATCTGTGGCAGAATAATTACCAAGTCAGCAAGAAACTAAAAAATGAACATCACAGAAAGGGACCAATTTGAAAGGTATAAATCATAGCCGCAATAGGGAAAATATTTACAGGGTATCTGCTACATTTAAGATGTTGAAATTCATGACTTTTCATGATTTTACATGACTAATTCTAAGAATTTTTCATGACTTAACGAAGTTACTATTTTCTCCGACAAAAATAAATTTTAAAAAGCATTATAATAACATTAATTGAAATGATAGGTATAACCAAAACTGATATACTATTAATTTTCATATTTATAGATTTAAATTTAAAAAATTGAGTAAAGAAAGAGTTAAAAGAATAAAATATCTGAAAAAATACAAAAGCAAATAAATTTTTTTCTTTTTTCCTGCAGAATTTTATTCTAAAGATACTTTTCTTGTTCAGCGGAAAGGAAAGAAATACTCCTGATTTTTCTGTTTTCATTTTGGAATAGAAAAAATTTGCCAACGACTGGTTTACTTCAGCTAGAAATTATGTTTATTCTTTTATTTTTTGAACGATACCCATAATTTTATATTGTAATAAAATATGATTCTGAGTAATGATTTTGTTATGAATTCAGATATTCTGAACAAGCTGAAATGGGAGGGAGGATTCCATTTTAAAAATTAAATTTTTTCACAATCTAATAAATCCATGACTTTTCATGATTTTTTTTAAAAAATAGTTAAAATCATGACATTTCACGACTTTCCAGGTGCGCGGATATCCTGTATTTACATTTCTTATTTATACTTGTAAATTTAAGATCTCTTTGGCGATTGTAGTTGGTCATGTAGATCAAGATACGGTAATATCTTCCTAAAAATATCCAGAAGTTTGCCTGAAATGGCTATGAAATATAACCCTTTGAATATAACCCCTGGCTATGAAATATAACCCTTTGAGTTGGTCACCTTCTGTGATTTTTTAGTCATCCATCCGGAAGTTTTCAAAGCTTGACGATTATTCTTCCACATTTTTTTATACGGAAATCTTCTCAAAAGTAGATATAAATATTGGTTCGATAAGTTAAATTGTTACTTAAAAATTCTTATTGATTAAAAATTATTCATGATTTCATTAACTTAAATAATATAGAAATATATCTTAAATCAATATTTCACATATTACTAAAAGTTTGATGCATTACCCAATTTGTTTGATGCATTTAAGTTTTCTTTTGAGTCTTTGAAATTAATGTCGCGTAAACAACTCAAACGTTTTTGCCTTGAAGCTTCCCTCACTGATAAAATACTTTCTTTTTTAATTTCTTTATAATTCCCAAATTTTAAATTTTTTTTCTTATAGAGATACTCCATCTTCAAATAAATACCGCCACCAAACCGAAAAGTTTTTAAAGTTAAATGTTGCCAAATATCTAAACTAAAATAGCTCCTAAATATTTTAGACTTGCATACTCAATTTAGGCTTATAAACCTTTTCGTACAAATGCCAATCGTAGCGCTTGAATACGCCACCTGTGGGAAGGAGACCATCGTCAATAACCCAATCTGCAG